ATGTTGCAGGATTTCAGTGCATGCAGGGTGTCATCGCAGTCGTTCGTCGAGACCTTTGGCGCCATTCACGCCCAAAGGCCGAGGCCGTGTCTTTGCCAGATTGGTCGACTCATGCACCTTCTGTTTCCTCTTGTGTCAAGTCAGTGGGAGAGCAGTGGATGGTCTTCACCGAAGCCACCTGGATGTCTTCGTGAAGCCTCAGGATGTGCAAGTTAGCAAGGACTTCGGGCAAGGCCAGCTGTGCCTGCCTGTGACTTCACCGAGATTGGACATACGATCCTCTAGCTCCACAAGCCCTTCCGGATCCATCAAAGCAGGACCACATCCTGTACATCCTGCCAATGGTTCAGTTCCCCAAGGATGGCCAGGGAAGTGGGCAGGGTTTCGTGAATCCCACATGGATCATGCGGACAACGAGCGACAGGACCGAGGCCAACATGGAAGTCGTTGGCAAGGGCTCCGAGAAGTTGACTCCGGACTATAGGAAGATCCAGTTGCCTTATGTGAAGAATATCAGGAAAGTGAGTGCGGGGCAGTCGCTGCTCCTGTATCGCCCGGAGACGGGCAAACCCGAGCAGCCCGAGGCACTGAGACCACTTTCGAAGAAACTTCGAACTCAGTGAGCATTGCACGGTAGAATCTTTTGCAATTGCTGTTATGCAGTTATATGCACATGCAGAGCATGTGCATAACAAGCTGGCTTGCACATGCAGGGATTGCTGGCCCATGCATGCACACATGTGTGCTGTGAATGCTTTCGGTTCGATGATCCATGAATAAATGCCTGCAGGGCTCTAGCTCGCGGGCAATAGGCAGCAGGGCCGTGCTCGCTGCCTCTACATAACCTTATATGAATCGAACAGGACCAGGCTAGGGTTTTGCAAAACAATTATTTTTGCACAGTTTTTGCAAATTTTTTGCACATTAATTTTGCGCAAAAATTTGCTTAAATTCTGGACTATATTTAATTTTGCAAATTTTTTGCATTCATTTTTTTTTGTATTTTTTTGGTTTTATAAAATGCAGAAATCCAACGATCCGGGTTTTTCCTATCAAATAGGCCAAGCCTCACATTTTGCACAAAATTTCGGGGCCGGTATCGGGATGGGTTCTTCGACAACTGTGCGAAAAAAATGTAATTGGGAGATCTTTGATCTGCTGACCAGATAAAAACCAAACGAAAAACACGAACACCCGAAATTTGTGGTTGCAAAGTTTTCTTCCTTGTAAATTTGTTTACAAAGACGGCTGGCGATGCGAGGGGTTTGATTTTGAAAGCTTCCCACATCGACAGAAGTTCTGATTTTTAGATTATTTGAAGGGCGGTCCGACACCAATGGTGTCGTTTTGGAAATTGTTTGCCACAGTTTCACGAGCAAAGCCAAAGCCCCGACGGCCTACCTGGGCCAACCTGGCCAAAACTCAAAATTGCAGCGAGTAGGCAGGCGACCAACAAAATGCAAGAACATGTGTAGTCAGGTGTCAAAGCTGCAATTGGAAATGTTTGAAATTTTTCTTAATTTCATATTGGTGGTCCACTCCTTGATTTGTGCCACATCTTGCTTGGAATCCCTCTCAAGTTTTTTCCGGAGGGGGTGAGGTGGCGGGCTGGTGGGGTGGGGTCGGGTGGGGTGGGGTGGGGCGGGGTGGGGTTTGATGGGGTTGCGGGGTGGTGAGGTCGTGGGTTGGGCACGGGTCAGTGCTGGTCACCTGGCCTTACCTTGGGCTCCGTTTTCTTACAAATCTAAACCAAACCACGTGTGCTTGGCTTGGTTTGACACAATGTTTGCCCACAGCATCCCATTTTTTACAGTCGCAATATGTGATGCATCATTCGAACTTTGTGAAATGAAATTCACAACAGCTTTCACATCCGACCATGCCCCACACTCCTACACTACAATGTCCTTCACTGGCCCTACACTTATGCCAAGGTCTTAGATTTGTTAAAGTCTTCTAGTTAGTTTGTTAGTTCGCGCCCGAAACATGCCCACGAAGTTCTTGGATCTCGGGATGTCAGAGGGGAGGAGGTACCATTCTTCTGAACAGCAGTAATAGCAGCTATAGCAGTAATTAGAGCCGAGGCCTGCTGAGTAGACACGGTGCCATAGATGTTATAATGCAGTTGGTTGACCATCCCTTATCGAATCTTGGAGTTTGCAGACTTGTGCTTGTACCGACGCTTGGTGCAGATCGCACCCTTGCAGTTCAGCACAGCACATCTCGAACGTTTGCGTGATTTTGTCGGCCCGAAGTTCCAAAGTTTTGATGAATGCAAGCTTCTCGGTGGCTGTTGGGCTGGAATTTGATTGAACCATCAATGTCATGTCAGCAAAGCCAGCCAGCAAAGCAGACCAAGGAGCATCAGCAGCCACTATTCGGACTTGCGGTTGTAGCTGTGTAGCTGTAGCTGCGTAAACTCCGTGCAGGTATAGAAGTGTAGATGGTAGACTCAATGTAGTGTAGTGTAGGCCCTGTAGACTGTAGACTGTAGACACTGTAGGCCCTGCCCATGGCCCATGGTCGAAGAACCGTAGCCGTAGACTGTAGACTGTAGACTGCGTAGACAGTGTAGTCAGTGTAGTCGCAGTCGAGTGTAGTCTTGTAGTCGTAGGCCCGTAGGCTTCGCAGACCTTGGAAACTTGGACCTTGGGCGGGTCTCGGCCAGGGCACAGGGCACAGTTCTGAAAGCTCAGTTCTGCGAATGCGAATGGCAAGCATGCTAGCTGGAAGCAGTTTGAATGTTTCTTGTGTCGTTGTAGGCCTCGTGTGCCATGTGCGATATGCTCGATGGTTTCACTTGGGATGAGGCCTTGGACGAAGAGCTGCAAAGCTTGAACAAGTTATCTCAAGAGATTTCAGATGCTGAGAATATCAGAACTCCAAGCTTCGGTTCACCTGATTCACCTGATTCTGGCAGTGCAATGCATCATGTGGACAGTGTGCACAGCGATTTGCCTGCTCTCCATGGGAGCACTTGGTGGGCAGCTGTTTTAGCCGCTGCAGTGCAGGATGTGCAAAGGTTAGCAGACGCATCGTTGCTTGCACCCAAGCCCGACCGTCTTTGTGTGGTGTCTGCTTGCAGCGGCTGCTGTGCTGAAAGCTTTGTGCTCAAGGCGGGCATTTGGGTTTCGTCAAGACCTCTGCGCAAGTCACAAGACCCAATTACCAAGTCCGTTCCATTTTCAGGGCCCCAAAACTCCCAAAACTAAGGCTCAGGCTAACTCTAGACTCTAGCCGGCTAGCGGCTAAGGCTCGTCCGGCCGCCCAGGTCCCAGGCTCGAGCAATTATCAAAAGTAAGTAGCATTATTTGTTATTTAGTGGCAGGTGATGTCCACTGATGAATGTTCGAAACCAGTTTCATTCCTTCGTCCTAGTAACTAGAACCTAGAATCGCCCGAGTCCGTCGTGGTAGCTGGTAGCTGCCCAGAATCTTGGTGTTAGGTCTCCTGAGTCTCCTGAGGCCCTAGAGCCCTAGCCGCCCCAACCCTTCGCAAGTACACAGGCCAGAATCCTCAATGGCTTGGGCCGCTGCCCGAAATTACTCCAGTTGTTTCAAGACAGCTCAAACAAAAAGGTAGTGTCTCCGAACATGCGCATTTGTGGCTTAGGGTTGTTTCGTGTTAGTGCAGGCCGGTGCAAGTAGGAAGCCAGCGTGGTTTTCAGTTTACAGTTCTTTCCTAGTTCGAATTCACATGCTTCATACATGTACTCAAGACTCAAGACGTCTGTGTTGTTTAGCAAGATCAACACCGAAACCCATGCATACTGAGAAATAAATCCAGTTTCCCGGGGTCGGTATCCATTTAAAGCCCCCGTGCTCAGCACCCAAACATGTTGAGAACGTATGAGCAGCTTTGTGCATCTATTCTATGCTGCTAGCCGGTAGACTCCGGTAGACTCCGGTAGACCCGGTAGCCCGTTGTAGTTGACTGCTGTAGGTCGTTGGTGGTAGGTCGTAGGGCTCATTCCCGACCAGAGTCCCAAGACAGAATGCTTCGCAGGCACTGGGTGTCGACTTCCGCCTTCACTCGGTCTCGGAGAGCAATGCTGTGTATCGAGATTTCGTTTTGGTCAATGCAGGCACGGAGAAGGTTGATCACATGTATGATTGCGTGCACAAGCAAGCAGAAGGCGAGGGTTTTTGCCTTGCTTGCACGGCTGCTGGCAGAGCATGCGCTGACACTTCGGCGCCAGAACTTGTGCATCTTCTGGTGTCAGGAACCCCTTGTAATCCTTTCTCAAAACAGAACTCTGGGAAAAGGTGGTCAACAGGTCATGTGAAAGGCCATGCAGGCTATGGTTTGACCATGCAATCGCTGATGGGTTTGTACAAGAAATATTCACCCCTCATTGGCGTCATGGAGCAAGTCTGTGGCTTCGACATGGCTTATGACTCCACGACCTCCGAGACACCCTACAAGAGGCCAGCTGAATCAGTTGGAGCAGTCAGTTGATTGGATGATGAAGCCGATTTACAATCAATCTAGAATCTACAATTTTAGTCTACCATCTACAAGCCCCGGCTGCAAACTACTGCTCGCAGTGTTAGTTATCATGTGCAATGTACATCACAGCGAGATAGAGAGAGAGAGAGAGAGAGAGAGAGAGAGAGAGAGAGAGAGAGAGAGAGAGAGAGAGAGAGAGAGAGAGAGAGAGAGAGAGAGAGAGAGAGAGAGAGAGAGAGAGAGAGAGAGAGAGAGAGAGAGAGAGGAGGGAGAGAGAGAGAGAGAGAGAGAGAGAGAGAGAGAGAGAGAGAGAGAGAGAGAGAGAGAGAGAGAGATGGCGATAGAGGGACAGGGATAGAGATAACGATAAAGACATAAAATGACAGAATATGATGGACACGAGTGAACTTGTGGGGCTGTTCTGTTAGTCACTGTTAGTGATGTTGCCATATTAGAAGGTCGTGCTTGCGCAAAGTTCAGACCACGGAAGGTTCAGATAATGGTAACGGCGGTAACGGGTAACGGTTCAGCCTGAGGGTGTGGGTACTGCAATGGCTATGGCGGCTATGGCTATGGCTATGGGTGCGGCTATGGCTATGGCTATCGGCTATGGATACGGCTATGGCTATGTCAATGTCTATCGTGTACGGTCAGGTCGGTAACGATTGGCGGTCACGGACGGCTACGGTTCAGCAGAACTTACCGGTAAGCGTGCCCGGCTTTGAGCACAAACGAGATCGGAAACCACTGAACAATGTTGGGGTAGTGTCTGTTAGTACTGTTGGTTTGTTGGTAGTGTGCGAGCTGCCAGGTTCCTTGAGGAGTTCGGAGCCGGTGATCTTGGTCCTGGGTACTACGTGGTCAAGCTTCGCCTGGATGCCAGCTTATGGCTCCTCATCTCGCGACCCAGGTGCGCCCCTCCGTGCCGACTTTCTGAGACTAATATAATTATGCAGCATGCAAGTTTCCTGTAAGACACTGTAAGAACGGTGTGGCGTGGATCCATTGGAGGCCCTAAGTCCTAAGTGTGTTATGTGTGATTGGTTTGGGATTTTGGATTCGGAGCTAGCTAGCAGCTAGACTCCAAGAGTCAAAGGCTTTGGAAGGCGCCAACCTTTCCGTTTTAGGTCACACTGCATATCAATGAGTTAATGATCTCTGTATTTTAAGGGAACAGTATTCAGTAGCAGTAGCGTGCAGTGTGGGTTGGCAATGTGCAGTCTTCCAGAACTCAGCAGATTCAATAGTTCAATAGATGTGGGCAATGTTGGTAGCTGGCAGCTTCCGGGTTTGATTGTGACTAGTGACTAGTAACTAGTAATTGAGGCAAGCCGCAAGCCACTGTGTACGACTCAGTTTTCGTTGTGTTGACTGCCAGGGTCGTTAGTTACTGGTCATTACCAACGCTGCTAAGCCGCTACTAGTTACTAAGTAACAGTTACAGTTACTAGTCTAGGTAGCAGCTCCCTTGCGTTGCATCGAATGAATCTAATGTATTTCATGGACCGTGAAGCCCCGGAGCAGCGGAGCAATTCAGTATGGCCCCGTGTCGCACCTCACAGGGAGCTCGTAGCCTGCATCCCCCCTTTGTCGTTAGTTAGGTTAGATACCGTTGAGCGTGTTAGCCACTCACTGTAGTCGTTGTATTCCCAGCCATCATGAGCGCATTGGGCATTGGGAGCATCGTTGATGACACAGGTTCAGGACTGTGGGGCAGTTTTCGCTACAGTTTTCTCGTCTGTAGATGTAAGCCAATGTAAGCCAATGTAAGCATTGGCATGGGCAAATGCATATAGTATTTCACCGGTTTCTCCTTTCGAGCGACTGCTGAGGCACAGGGTCTTATTTAGATTTTTAGATTTTAGATGTGGTGGTGATCACGGTGTGAGAGCTGACAACACTTGATTCCGATTGCTGTATCGCACATCGGTTCAGATTCGGCAGCTTGCGCACCAAGAGGCGGTGGCCAGATGACTGAGGGACTTAAGGCTTAAGGGTCAACCAGTTGTAATTGTAGTTGTAGCTGAAGGCTAGGCTAATCTGTTGAGGACCAAACCCCAAAGCCATGCATCTGTAGCCACCTCCGTCACGTGGCATTCACCGTCTAGTAACTGTAGTCACTGTAGTAACACTGTCGTAACTAATTGTACTTAGTGTTAGTAGCTCAGTAGCTTTGCAAAGTGAAAGTTAGGCAGTTAAGTAGTGAATGACATACTCCCATCGATGTTACTGCAATACTGCAAAACCACACTCAAACTCCAGATGTGTGCCTGCCAGTAAAACGCATTTTCTAATTAGTCAATAGCAGCCCAGCTAAGCCAAGCAGCTCGTCGTCTGAAGACATGCGATGATTCCTCGAGTGTGCTGCCTGTGTTTGAGCTGGTTTGCGTGGTCAGTGGTTTTATCTGGTGCATGTCGAGGCATGAGCCACGAAGTAGATGATTTGTTTGCTGGCTGGGAAGATGATATCAATGAAGTGTTGGCTGAGGGCCCAGAGCATCAGGTGGTCATTGATGCAGTGGCCGATTCCTCATCGGCGCAGCCGCGAAGAAAAAAAGGCCGGCCTGTCGGCTCCACTGGTAGCCGTATGGTGAGGGAGCAGATGCAGCGGCTACAAGCCGAAGAAGCCGAAACCGAGGACGGGGAACCATCAGAACTGGTGCCACGAGCGGAATCGAATGCTGACATTGTCAAACATCTGCAACAGCACAGGGCCCTGAAGGATGCTGTTCAGAAGATGTTTGGCCCCTGGCAATTTCTGCTGAATGTGGGAAGCAGCTTTCAGAGAGTTGTATCGCAGTCGCTGAAAGATTCTGTCGAGATGCTGTCTCGAACAAAGGAAAAAATTTCATTGTTGAAGGACACACTCGGTGAAGCAGTTTCCAAGGCGTCTTTGTCCCAGATTGTTCAGGGCAGAGCTTTGACTTGCTCTGCCACCGCGTTGGCGAGGTTGGAGAACAGCGGAGAGGACTCGAGCAGGACATCACTGCAGCGTCGCATGGTTCAGTCCGGAGGATTGGCCTTGGAATGTTCTGCTTTGCTTTGCAGTGCTGCGCTTTCGTCTTTCATCGAGGCCTGCAAGAATCCTGTGTCGCAGGGTGTGGGTGTGCGCGGCTTGGAACTGAAGCCATTAATGTTTTGCTGGCGTGTACGCTACGACGAAACTCCAAGCAAAGTCCGAGTGGCAAATTTGCACGACAGCTCGGCAGCCCCTCGGTTGCAGTTTTGCTATTATGAGTATTATGATCGTCATCGTTATCGTTCTGATTATTGATTATTGGTACTTACCTTACTTGCAGTCACTTGAACCTCGATCTGTCTCCAGCCCGAGGCCCCAGCCTCCAGATTGGAGCTTGTGTCATCTTTTGTAGCTTTTGTTCTATGCCTGAACTTAGCTAAACTACCTAACTAAGCCCAATCAACTCAAGGTTTCTGCCGCCATGAAACAATGTGACTCAGGCCTCCCTGGCCGATTTTCCTACCTCCCTTATCCGACTAAGCAATGTCTCCATTACCCACACCCGTGCTTGGCCTGCTTGGCCTGACTTAGCTTTGTTTGGGCATCTTTACAACTTTATGGGTGTCATTCATAATATCAGCACGGCACTTGTACATTGTAACTGTAGCTGCTGGATTACGAGCTCAATCACTGCAGCATTGTATTGTCCGATTATTGTCCTTAAATCCAGTGTTGCTAACGTTTATGCCTTAGTCAAATTTCAGCAAGACAGTCTGCCATATGCCATGTGCAATACCCGAGTGTTTTTCCAAGCACATCGCAGCTATGGTTACGGTTACGGTTACTGTGCGGTGTCACTACCCTCGCTACCCATTGCAGCCCACCCACTACCAGCCACTGCCCCATGCTTGTTGTGACGGCTTGTGACCAAGGCAGAACAGATGGCTGGAAACCACTCCACGGCAGCCACCCACATCGTGTTGCCTAAGGGGTGCAAAGGCTCCGAGTCCATTGAGGCATTTCTGCGTGGATGTGGTGTCAGTTCTCCAGCTGAGAGCGTGACACATGCGAAGGTTTTGCAAATCCAAGTCGATGTCATGTTGGTGTATGGCACCAGCAAATCGGCATCGAGCAACCAAGACAGCAAGGCTACGGCTACAGATGCGAAAGACTTGGTTTCTGTGATGACCTCGATTCCTTGCTGCCTCGCCGCGATGGACCGAACAACGGCAGAGAACCAGCGCTCCTGCATAGCGCAGTGCCTGGATGCACTGCCAGAATGGCAGCGAATCGCTGGTAATTTTGCTGTGAAGATGCGGGTGGTCACGACTGACCGATACGCTGCGAATTACAGGACCGAGAGAGGCCTGCAGATGTATATGTCTGACTTCCAGCTTTTGCATCTGCCCTGCGACGCACACAAAGGTGCGACCTGCGTAAAAGCCTGTTTGGGGGCCGTCGAGTCCGAGGTGTCTGGACTCATCAACAGCTCCTTGGCGCTGGGGGAATTGGGGGTATTGCAGCGCCTTCGCGATCTGCTGACAGCGTTGCTGTTCAACAACCTCGAAATCTACCAGACAGAGCCCCCTCATGATCAGAGCCTCACTGATTACAGAAGAGCGGTTTACGATCGTTTTATGCCACTGCAGGGCGACAAATGTATCCTCAACCAGAAGCGTCGCAAGATTTTGGAAACGATGCTGAATGGCGACTTGCGACAAGCAGAGTTGCAGCACTATTGCCCGCTCGGGGCAATGTGCTGTGCAAATGATACGCAGCAAACAATGTCCAACATGGCGCTGTACGTGAGCTGGGCACTTTTGCCTTGCCAGCAGGCGACCATATCCAGAAAAAACTGGATCGGTCAGACAGATGCCATGAATTGGACTGGAGTCCTTGAGTCGCACCACGGCCTCTACAGCAGGCTGCTCCTCATGTATTTTGGAACTCCGAAAGTCGTCAACCCTTCCCGAGGCCAAGCTGCCACAGAAGCCGCCCCTGTTTCGGACGATGAGGATGGTATGCAAGACTGGAAGCAAGCCTTGATGGACGAGCTGAGCAGCGCTCCCGCTCCGGCCGACCCACAGGTTGTTCCAGAAGTCCATGCAGACGGAGCAGGTCCAGAAGCTGCTCCAGAGGTTGATTTCGCTCAAGCTCAAGCTTCTCGAGACAATGACGATTTATGGAAAGAAATGAAGCAGATGCGGCGGCAATCGGCACAGGCTTATGCTGCTTCCAGACCCTACAATAAGCTGTACATCATGAGCGAGACACTTGGGCCCCTCCATGTGTTCATGTCACAGATCTTGAAAAAGAGCGGTGGCCAGTGGGAGAGCAAGCAGGCTGCGAAACAAGCTCGTGGCGAGCCGCGCACATTCCTGCTGTTGGAAGCAGCACGGCAGCAAGAGGTCCAGCAGGCAATGACTGATCTGTTGGATATTCTTCCAACCACCCCTCTTGGTGCTCATCTGGAGACATTTACGTGTGTTCATCGTGCTTTGAGATTCGCAATGACGGCTTCGGGCATGTGTTCCTTACATGGCCTCATTCGCTTTGCTCGGCAGAATCTGCCGTACCAGGCGTTTCATCTCGTGGCGGAAGATGTCAGTGACGAAAAGCTTTCGGAATGTGCACAGCGGCTGCTGGACACTCCTCGCCTCGTGGCCGCATCAAACTTCAATGCACTCAGGGTTTGTGATTTGTGGCTTGCGGCTTGCACTGCGTTAGGTACCGTTCGGCTGCAGCTGTGGTTGCTGGTTGCTGTTGCTTGCTATTGCTATTGAATATTGCTGCTGCTGCTGCTGCTGCTTCTTTCTGGATTCTGGCTGCTGTTTTGCTGTCCGGTGCCACACCGGCCCAAGGGCACAAGACCATTTTGTACTGGCACACCTACTTTATGACTTTTGTCCTTTTGGTGCACTGAGACAACAACCGATTTTCCAATATCAGAAGTTTCCCTAGGCAGCCGCCCTAGTCGCCCTAGCCCTAGTCTTTATGGCGGCGCATGGCATAGTCTGCCGACATCCAGCCAGCAAACCACAAACGATAAGTCAGAAACCACAGGTTCTAGGCTTCCAAAACTTCAAGCGGATTCAAGCGGTTGCCACCGGCCACCGTATCCCGTAGACCATAGGCCCTGCCCCGATTTGGTAGGCCCATTCTGTGCCGCTTCGTTTCGCTTCCAAGGATGCCTGTTCGATGAGTTTTGGAATGGTTTCTCCCGCCGCTACCCCAGCAAGTCGGCTCTGCTCAGTGCAGAATGCAGAGGCCTGCTGCAATGCATCGCAGCGATAGCTGCAGTCGACGTGTGCTCGATTGAGTCGAGCCATTCCTCCACACGGGAATTCGCACAGCTGAGAAGCCGGGGATGGACATCCTCGCTGGAAGAGGTAGCGTCGCGTTGGGTCCTTTTGCAACGGAAGCGCCACAACAAGGGCACCTCATCTGCCGCCAATCGGCAGAACAAGAAGAAGCCACAGCCCGATTCTGCTGAAAAGAAACGGCGCACTGGAACAGTGTCAGCATGGAACGCATTTATGCATTTTCACGGCCGTGGTCTGCCTCCGGATGCAGGTCGGCACTCTGCCAGGCTGAGTGCAATTTTCCGGTCTTTGACAGATGAGGAGAGGCAGAAGTATGTGGCTGCAGCAGAGGGGGGATCGGCTGCAGTGCGCATGGGCTTCCCTGCTTTTGCAACTGCGAAAACGAGCAAGGAGAAACGTCAAGAGAAGCGGCATAAGTCCTCGCAGCGAGGTGTGTCTGCCGGGCATAGCCTTGCAGCTCCTATGTTGCTTCCTGGGCAGCAGGTGCCAGGACCTGCTGGAGGTGCTATTGTGGCAGTGCCTCCGGCCCACCTGGATGTCGTGGGTGGTCAAGTCACGCAGCATCTCCGACAGACTTTTCCAGATCTTTATCAGGAGTTCCTTGCAGGTCTGAAGAAGCCAGAAGATGAATTGGACTTGAACGAACAGGAACTTGATTCTCTTTGTAAATTCAGGGCCACAGTGGATTTCCTTGATGTGCCAGTGGCGAAGACATGGGAACGAGATGGTCATTCCCAGCTGCGACAGAATTTGTCGGCCCATCCTGTGTCCAGTTTGGTGCGTGGTCTTGTGTGGAATCCGCCCACAGAGAAGGCCGTCGAGGCAGGTGGGCTGTGTCCGGTGTGTCTGGGCTTGGACGGCTTGGTCGGTTTCAGTTGCACATGAACCTGAAGCTGCAGGAAGTAATTAAGTAACAGTAAAATCAACAAGTGTCACAGTGTAACAAGTGCTTAATAATATAACACAGAAATCACAGGCACTCCGTATCTGTAGACTGTAGACTCTAGCCGCTCTGGCCGTAGCTGTAGCCGTCCTAGCTTCAGTAGCCATAAAACATGAAAGTACTCAGTAGCGGTAGCAGGCATCAGTAGCCGTATCCATATCCGTATCCTGCCTTTCTATTTAATTGAGTAACACAATGTTTAACAGTCGCTCAGTAGCAGTAACTTTCAGTAAGACAGTAAGAGGGACAGTAACAGTAACAGTATAGCACTTCAGTGTCATTGTACCTCCAACACTGCAAAAGGCAATGGTGGACGTCAGATCAAATCCCGGATTTAGGCGATCTTTTTGCAGTTGGTCTTGCAATGTCCTATGGTAGTGTTCACGGGCTTGCTAGCTAGCTGTCAGCTAGTTAGCCACTGCTATAATGTCGATGTCATTCACATTTCGTTCCTCTTTTGGGTTCCTTGGAGGCTATGCTTTGCAAAGAGACGGTGGGAGTTCGGAAGAAGTATGGTTTGCAGACGAGACAAGCCAGAAGCTGGTCTAAAAGATGCAGTGTGCATGTGCATGATCGGCAGCCGCCGATCAAAGCAAGTGACATGAAGGATCATTTCAAGCCGGCCGTTTGCCACCGCCTTGGCATGTGTGTGTGTGGCCACTCAGAGGGGTCCACCCCGGACGTGCTTTCGTTTTGGAACAACCTGGAACCATGGCTGAGGGCTACTTTGGCAAAACCCAAAAAGGGAGAGTATTCCAAAGCTCGCAAGATGATGCAAGATCAACTGTTAGTGTTTTCTTTCACTTCCGGCCCTGCTTGGGATGCAAACACGGAACGTCCTTCCGAGCCTGCCGAAGATGTCGAGGATGTGGTGCATTATGTTTATCCTGCATACACAAATTTTCAGTCTTTTCACTTTACTTGCCTCCGGTTGTATGCTGAGTTGCAGACAGTATTGGGACTTTCGACAGAAGGAATCCCTGACCTTCCCGGTGTCGTGCATGTCGGCTGCAAAAATTCGCAGCAAGTCGACTCCGACCATGAAGTCT